TGTTTCTTTGTTTCGCGTTCTTCCACTTCTTTGCCTTTATTATCATATTTGTAGAATCCTTTGCCGTTCTTCTTGCCAAGGTATCCATCCTTTACCATCCGCTGAACATCCGAGGCCACAGCAAAACGTTTAGACTTGATACCGTCGGTTAGAATTGGTCCCACATGACATGCAACATCCAATCCAACTTCATCCAAAAGTCGAAATGGTCCCATTGGCATGCCAAAATCAAGTATGGCCTTATCAATCCGAGCCAGGTCAACCTTGTCGTCCACGGCAAGACGACCTGCTTCAGCCATGTAGACACCAAGAATTCGATTGACTACAAAACCTGGTGCATCCTGCACAATAATGGGTTTCTTTCCGGTCCGTAAAGCCAAATTAAAAATAATGGCAGCCGCTTCTTTAGAGGTTTTTTTCCCTTTAATCACCTCCACCAATGGCATTTTAGACACAGGGTTAAAAAAGTGCATTCCCACAATGTTCTCCGGGTACTTGGATACCGTCTGCATCTCAGTTAAACTGAGCGAGGAAGTATTTGTGGCAAATAAGTTCTTACCGTTGATAATTCCTTCCTTTTCCAAATCCCGAATAATATTTTTTTTAATATCCATCACCTCCACTGCGGCCTCCACAATTACATCCATTCCTTGAAAGATACTGCTTGAAGTCCCACCTTTAACGATTCTCATTCTTTCCTGCATGATGGCAGGTGTTATTTTCTTTCTTTTCATTGCCTTTTCAAACTCCCCACGTACCATTTCAATACCTTTATCCACGGCTTCTTGTTTTACATCTTTCACCGCAACAGGTATGCCCTTGTTAGCAAAGTGATGCACAATTCCAGATCCCATGACACCTGCACCAATTACACCAACAGTTCGCACAGGGGGTACTTTATCTTTTGGAATTCCCGTTTTGCGTTCACTCTTTTTCATACCTTCATCAAGAAAGTAAAGGGCCATCTGATTTTTAGCCTCAGGTGTCACCAAAAGTTCACTGAATGCCTCACGTTCCCTGGCAAAACCCTCCGCATTGGAATGGGTAGCGGAATATAAAACAGCCTCCAATGCTTTGTATTGTGCAATGTATTTCCCTTTTGTTTTTGAATTCAAAGATTCAATTGTCTTTTTGCCAATTATTCTTCGTCCAATCGAAGTGCGCTGCAGAAAACAATCCATAAGTGAGAGGTTTTTGCCCCGTGACGGCTTTAGGGGTTTATCCACCAAACCACCAACCCATCGCCGTACTTGATTAAAGAAACGATCCTCCCCATTCCAACGGTCTTCCGCTGGAATCACCGCATTCACTGCACCCGCCTTCTTTGCCTTTTGTGCCTTCGCAGTTGCACTTGTCATGATCCACTCCACCGCCGTCATTAACCCGGTAAGACGCTGCAGACGTACGGTGCCGCCTGCGCCAGGAAGCACACCCAGTAAGCACTCCGGCAATCCCACCGACCCATCGGAAGCCAGCAATCGATGATGACAAGCCAGTGCTAATTCAAATCCACCACCCAGGGCAAGACCATTAATGGCCGCCACAACTGGAAAGGGCTCCTTCTCAATACGGTCAAAAAGTTCGTGACCCATACGGGTTGCCTCCGCCGCCATCTTTTTTTCTGTAAGTGGGTATAATTGATCCAAGTCCGCACCCACACAAAAATTAGACTTGGCACTTGCTATAATGGCAACACAAGCCTTTTTATCAACTACAAGCTTTTCCACAATATCCAGTGCCTTTTGCATACAACCCACAAAGGCTTCACCCAGTGCGTTGGCACTGGATCCAGCACGGTCCATAACTATCCAAGCGTAGACACCAGAGTCAACATACACGGTGACATGTTCACCCGCTGGATACGTCTCCCAAATACGGTTCCTTAAAATGGAACCTTTAAAATCATGGGCAGAGACAGATGGTCTCATCGGTGGTACCTTTTTTGCAGAAGCCACTGGATTCGCAGTCGACGATTTCAAGCGTAAATCATACGTTTGTCGAGAAAAAATGTTGCTTGCAGTTGCTGCCAATGCGGCTGTTGTCACCCAATTGCCGTGTACAAAACGCCGTAACATCTCAGCACCGACGTATAAAAATATAAATGTGTTTTGTGTTTATATATTTTTTTTTTTCTTTCCTTCTTTCTTAATATTTCAAAATGTGTGGGTACTCTCCTCTTCCTCCGGATGATACTTTTCCCTCTTTCTTCTCTTTTGTGTGAATGTATTTGTGTATTATTAAGCTAACAATAAGCCATTAAACACACACACAAAAAAAAAATATAATAAAAAATAAAGGAATAAAAATAAAAGAATAAAAAGATGTAAATTCGCTCAAACAACCAGCATGCATTCTTTCCCATAAAACCCTCACTCTCTCCCCCCCCCCCCGTTTTTTTCTTTTTTTCTTTTTCTTTACCCCGTTTTATTTCCTGTTATTTGTTGTTGGTGGTGGTAGCGGTGGTAGCGGTGGTGGTAGCGGTGGAGGCGGTATTTGTTATTTATTTATTATTATTTTATACTCGCTACTATCCATCAAATATATAAATACACATGCCACACGTGCCACATGTACATAAAAAGGGCACATATATATATGCCAACACAAACCACAAAAATACATGTGGGTTTTTTCCTTTTTTTTTTTTTTTTTTCATCGGTACCTCGTCATCCTTCCATTGCCACGACATGCACACGTTGCATGTATCTTAAAGATGTAAGGGCACACCTACACACACTCACAAAAAAAAAAAAAGTATCTCAAATAAATAGCCCTACACACATTAAGCAACAAACAAACAAACATACAGACGACGATGGTGATGATGATAATAATGGGAAAAAAGAGTGAGAAAACAAAAACAACAACAAATAAAATAAAAATAAAAATAAAAACTGAACGGAGTAATGTCTTATCGGCAAAGATGTGCTCTCGTCTTCAAAAAAAAAAAAAAAAAAAGAAAACGCATTGCAATCACACGCAAATCATGTTTTTAATTGTTTCCGTTTTTGTACCTCGGCATCCATCGCGGTATTCCATTCCCCAAATGCCCCTTGATGAAGAACATGCCGTAAATTTGGATGGGCTTCAACAACACGTGTCACGGCATACATTTCTAAATCGGCTATATCGGGTTCCTTACCACCATGAAACCGTTGACTGGAATGTTGACTTTGAAGCCGTGCCGTAAATGTAGCCAACTCCCCTTCTAGCCATGCGGCCGGATCCTTTACGGACATTTTAACAGTCGAATCCGTCCCTTTTGCTGCAAGACGAGGCAAAATTTTATACCGTGATAAAATGCACAGGGCAGATGCCCCTACTACACGAAAAACAATATTATGATACCGTGGTGGTGTCACATACGGATAAGACGCAAAGGCGTTACTCCATGTACAGTTGGTTGCAACAAAACTTACTGCTTGAAAGCGATCTGCAATCCATCGTCGTGTCTCTAGTACACGTGGATCTTGAAGTTGTTCCGCAAATCCCAATGGTATGGAAATGGCGGAGATAATTCGTTGAGAATCCACCACGTAGGCCCCTGTTGAATCAGGCATTTTATTGGTCGAAGTATCATCCATCGGCTCTAAACGTATTTGGGGTACCAGTCTATAACGGGGATCAGGAATCCCTGCACCGGAGAGGGTGTCAACATCTACCATTGAAAAAGGCACCGAATAATAGCGAAGTACCCATTCCACCTTTGCACAATGCGGGCATCCCAATAGGCGATACAATGTCAGACTGAAGTCTCTGCCATCATGACGATTGCTGCCTCTTTTCCACCGGAGGCTCTGATTCCATGGCAAACGTGACGTGCCAAGTGCCTCTGTGAGAAGTGCTTTATTCTGCAGGCCATTGAACTCCTCTGCAGACAATTGTTGTGGAGACGTGTTTCCTGCTGTTTTCCTACAGATGGCGTACCACAACACAGCCCCACCCAATGCGCCACCGCCCACAAGAGCAAATCCCGCTCTACGAGAACCCCAACGCATCGTCTCAGCTTCCCTTTCTCTTTTATCCCTGTTACTGTTGCACCGAGTCGAATTTTTAACTCCCACCACACCCCTTCCGCTTTGTTCGTCACACACACACACACACACAAACACACACTCGGTGAGGTGATCGATCTAAAAAAAAAAGGAAAAAAAAACAAAAAACAAAAAAAACATCATACGAGGCAGAAGTACATTTATTCAACATAACCACTAGCCGGAATTATGCTCCTTGTCCTTCCGTACCGTACGCACACATTACATGCACTCACTCTCGCTCTCAACCAATGTCCACGTCCCTTCCCCTCACCGCTAGTTTGCAACTTTGTTGCTGTTTCTTCTTCATCTCCAGCTCCTCAAAGAGGATGCAACAAAAAATTAGAAATAATTTCCCTGAATATTTATATATGAACAAGGAAAAATAATAAATCAAATAAATAAATAAATAAACACATAAAATTAATAAATCCATCTCCAGAAACGTTCATACATATATATATATATATATATATATATATATGAGTATTTTAATAGATATGCACCTCATCCTCATCTCTACCAAAGAACTCCAATTAAAGTACCCATAATTTCACCACTGAAACGGTCGAATTTCGGAAGGCCTGCTCGCAACACCTGGCAAAGGATTTGTAGGATTCATTTGATGTACCGCGAGAGCCGCGTATGAACCGAAGGGAGAAATGTTGGGACTGTTCTTTGCGTAACTTACCTGAATCATACGGTTTGCCAGCATCTTGTACCGGTTGTGAAGCGTGAAGATGGCTGTATCTGCCTCTTCCACATTAGAATATGTAACAAAGGCGGCACCTTTACTTCGGTTCTTAAGATCGCGGAGGATATGAATGTGCTCAACGTTACCATACGCACTAAACAAATTGTATAGACGTAACTCATCCGTCTCAAAAGGTAATTGGCCCACAAACAGCTTGGCGGCCGTGGGACTTAGCTGCACGGTGCTATTCTGCTCTGGTGACGCAGTAACGAGTCGTTGCGGCACAAAAACAGAAGGTACTTTTTGCAGCGACACGGCGTTCGAATTATTCCTCGGCGACCACGGCTTGGCGTCCGAAGGAAAGATTGTCGACATTATTTACAATAACTTTTGAGTCTGATACCACGGAAGGCGGGGGGTGTTCAGCTAAAGATATACCAGCATGCTATGGAGAAAAAAGAAATAATATATATATATATATTTAGAAAAAAAAATCAAATCAAATGCGCAAACAGTTTTCGGCAGGCATCGCCCTCAGTACTAACGGAAAAGAAATCCACACAAAAATAAAAAAAGAAAAAGATCGGAAGGTCAGAAGATGGAGTCACACACGCGGCTGCCCGCGGATCGGTGTTTTTTCCCCACTGCCAGATTCCATCGACGCTTGTCAGCGCTACACATACCGTTTGCGTGCCGTATGTGACGCGCAACGACAAAAGCTACTGCTAAGCGGAGACATTGAGCAGCACCCAGGCCCCATAGCAGTACTCCAGATGAACGTTTCTTGCCTCACGCCGTCAAAACTCGCAACATTAATGGCGCAAGGAGCAGACATAATAGCCATTCAGGAGACTTGGAAGTCGTCAGAGCAGATCGCCAGCATGCACACTGGAGATTATGTGCTCTATGCACAGTCGCGCATCGGCAAGGGAGGCGGTGTGGCGGTGCTGGTGCGGAAAACTCTCCGCTCCAAGCGTATACCTCTCACCATCCCCCAGCATGACACCAGCTTTGAAGTGGTGGTGGTCCAGGTTGCTCTGGACCAGAACCGTGATCTTATTGTAGCGAGTGCCTATGTGAGACCACCACTGCAAGTAACGCAATCCTTCAGGCGGTTAGTAAACTGCCTTCCAGCCTCGTCGCCGCTCCTGCTGTGTGGGGATTTCAACATGCATCACCCACAGTGGGAGCCATTCTTGGAGACTTCTCCAAGCGAGGTTGCTGCAGAATTTTTACAACTGTGCACGGATGCGGGACTCACCTTGGTTAACACCCCTGGTGAGATCACGTATGCCCGTGGCACAAGAGAACGATCCTGTATCGATCTGACATGGTCAAAGCATTTGACTGTGTCGGATTGGTCAGCTTCCGTGTCGCCGCTTAGTGATCATTATATGCTGACATTTACGCTGCATCAGGCATTTAAGGATACCATACCTTCGGCACCCCGTTCGGCACCTAAGTTTTTCTACAGTTGGGGGAAGTGCAAGTGGGATTTATTCATCAAGGACTTCGACGCACAACTTCCGGCATACGACTATAAAAAGCAGTCCACCGGCATTAAGGCTTTCACGAGAGCGCTTATAACTTCGTATCGACGACACTGCCCCCGCGGCATGCACAAGGACGGTCCCAGGCTTTGGGACGACACTCTCATGGAGGCAGAGCGGATGGCTACCGACAGCAAGGCCCGCTATCTACAGTTACCGACGCCCGACCGTGAGGCAGAAATGCAACGGACAAGGAGTCAATTCTTCCTCCTGCTCCGAGAGCGCTTGCGCAACACGTATCTACGCCGCATCAGCAAGTTAAATCCAGGCGAGCCACTCGCATGGAAATACATTTCCGGACGAAAAAAGGCATCACTTCCATCTCCCACATCAATGTCATTAGGAGACGGTCAACACACTTATAAAACAGCAAGGAGAGCAGCGAATGCTCTCAATCGCATCTTTCTTCCATTTCACCCCTCTCACAAGGCAGTTAGGTTTTCCAAAGGCATCAACAACGAGTCTGCTGCCTCATTTACTTCATTTTCTTCTACTTCTTCTAGCTCCGAGCCGCAGAAAACCAACGAGTCTGCCGCTACGTCTAGCTTAGTTTCTTCCACCTCTCTTATCTCTTGTATTTCTGAGCCGCAGAACAACAACGAGTCTGCTGCCTCATTTACTTCAGGTTCTTCACTCTCATCTAGTTCTGAGCCACAGGACAAAAACGAGGCTGCCACCACATCTGGTTTAGTTGCTCATCTTCACTCCCCTCTTGATGCACCTTTTAATCGTACGGAACTGCTTGCTGCGCTACGTAACACGCCGTATGGCAAGGCCCCCGGACCGGACGAAGTCTACAGTGAGGCACTGCGACATATTTCGTCAAAGGGCCTCCGATTCCTTCTTCGTTGCATTAACCACAGTTGGACGACCGGTACGATTCCGGTTGAGTGGAGACGCGCTACCATCGTTCCACTCTTAAAACCCGGTAAGTCGCCGGAACTGCTTGAGTCATATCGACCCATCAGCCTTACCTCCATCGTGAGTAAGGTTGCTGAGAAAATGGTACTGAAGAGATTGCTTTGGGTGTGGACGCCGCACCCCCACCAGTATGCATATCGTAGTATGCGTACCACAACGATGCAGCTGGCACACCTGATACACGAAGTGGAGCATAATAGAAATCACTATTTCCAAGTGAGCCTTCCCAAGAAGAGCGGTGTTGGCTATCAACTCCACTACAGACCCCATCGGACCCTGCTAGTGCTGGTTGATTTCAGCAAGGCTTTTGACTCCATAGATCATCGAGTCCTCAGTCGCTTGCTGGCTAATATTCCGGGGGTGAATTGTAGAAGGTGGCTTAGAAACTTTCTATGTGGTCGCTACGCGAAGACACGAGTTGGCCACAGACACAGCGATCGGCGTCCCATGCTGCGAGGAGTTCCTCAGGGGTCCGTGCTGGGACCATATTTGTTCTCCCTTTACGTACACCCACTTCTCAATCTGCTGAACAGCTTTGCGGGTGCCACAGCAGACATGTATGCGGACGACCTCTCTATTATCGTTAAGGGGCAGTCCCGGGAAGACGCCATTCCCACTGCCAACATGGTTCTTCAAAAGCTGCATGCGTGGAGTCAGGAAAATGGCCTGGCCATCAACCCGTCAAAGTGTGAAGCTGCTTGGTTCACACTATCCACGCACACGGAGTCAGATTATGATCGTGAAGGAAAGTGGCCGCTGGTAGTGGCTGGATGTCAAATCCCAGTCATGACCATGGGGGCATCGCGAACTACGAAGCTTCTCGGCATGGATCTCGATCCACGACTGACGCTAAATGTGGCGGCCACCAAGCAATGCGCTGCCACTTTGCAACGGATATCGCAGCTACGCTGCATAGCGCACAAAGAGGCGGGACCATCTCCACATGATCCACGCACGTTCGTCATTGGATACGGTGCTTCCAAATTACGCTATGGCAGCGAGCTCATATGGGCAGTAGCGACGGATTCAGCGAAGAACGAGATGCAGAAGACGTACGCAACCCTAGCACGCATTGTCAGCGGAGTTCCGAGCACTGTTGACCCGGAATCCGCGCTACTGGAGACTAATATGCCGCCGCTCCACGTCCTCTGCCTGCGCGCGCGGCTCTCAATATTTGAGAACACACGCGCATGTCAGATGGACTGGATGCGGAGACCCCCGCCTGAGCCACCGCCTCGCGCCGGTTTCCGCATCTCGCCATTATCTCGGGACGAGCTATATGCATTCGTAGACGCATACACAAAGGAATATGGCATCACCGAGAGCTCACCACGCGAAGAGCGGTTCTTTCGCAGCTCCATTCCTCCCTGGTTTGCGGCCTCCGCTCACCGGGTCACCATCGGTGTGGAACTTCCGATAGACCACTCAATAACGGACGAAGAAGAGCTGATAAGGGAAAAGCGCAGAGTCAGCGAAGAGACTCTAGCGCTGCACAGCCATCGTTCGTGGATACTCGCAACGGATGGCGGTGTCGGCATTCCCAATTCAGCCGGGATTGGCATACTGCTCTCATTCCCGCATTCCTCGGAGATAACAGAGAAGGTCAGTACCAACGGCGGCACACGCCCATGCAGCCGCACGACGGAGTCCCGTGCACTGCTCCCGGCCATGGAAAGGCTGAGTGTCCATCGTATCCGACACAGACAAAAACCCTGCTTGTGGTTACAGACAGTCAGTCCCTTCTAGCCGCCGTCACCAAGGGCCCGCTCAGCCATACCGACTGGACGGAGGATCAGATCTGGAAGCGTCTCTTGTCGCTGATGCGTGCCGGCTGGTCCGTGCAGCTGCAGTTTTGCTACGAGCATCGCGGAGTACATGCTAACGAGCCTGCAGATCAGCATGCGATGCAGAACACGGCAACCGGGCAACACACGGAGCATGGAATAGCACCCATACGGCACACGGACCTGCTGACATGTTTTACTACCCAGCTCACCAACAAGTGGCGTAGTACCATGCATCAGGACACCCACCACTACCTGCTTGGCGGCGCCAGGCCATCGGATCCAGGCGGCAAGCACATAATCACTCAGGAGGCCCTCGACCAACAGGAACGGACAAACATTGCACGGGAAGGGTGCGGGGAATCCGAGCTCTGGGGCCGCCTGTACTGGACTGTGAGAGACTGCACGAACCAACGCCGTTTCCGCAACATCTCACCGGAACACTCCGCTTTCATGCGCTCCAACGACGATCCCACCGCACCGGGACGGAAGCTGTTCCCCCGACGACAAGGGAGGCCGACGCACCGCCTGTGGAGAGACGGCCCTCCACACGCCGTCGAAAGAAAAAATGCCCGCACTGTGACGCCACAGTGGTGGGACACACGAACCACATCGGTCACTGTCGGTGCTTTCATCCGGAACGCCCTCCACCGCTTCCCCACCTCCACCGCGATTGCTGCGACACAGTCCTCCCCACACAAAAAAGGCACCGCACCGCACAGAAATCGCTGCGCACAGAACCCAGACGCTGACCGGCACCGCAGCAGCAGTGCCAGGAGGCAATCACTGCCACCGCAGGATCAGCCAGCCTCCACAAGCGCAACAATTAGCCCGCAGAAAACACTGCACCATCTGCCTCCGGAATGTACAGACGCTCTGGCTGTGCGCCAACGGCTGGGCATTAAGAAGGACCTTCGCACCGAAAGCTTCTCCCAATGGCAGCTGCCTCATAGCAGGAAACTCATGTCGCTGCTCGACCACCTCCTCGGCACCCTGATGACATCGTGTGGCTAGACATGTCGGTAAAAAAAAAAAAAAAACGGCACAAATGAAGAGAAACCCAAATGAGTTTGCGACAGCAATATTTAAAAGAAGAAAAATGAGGAGTACAAAGGAAAAA